CAGGTCCAAAAGGTACAATTCTTGTTACATAGGTCTTGCTTTACCTTGGTCTTAACCATCTAGCAGAAAAATGTAAAAACAAAGTGTAAGAAATAAAGCCATGTTGTTATGTTAAGCTGTAGGGGACTCAGGTCAACAACTTCTGACATTGCCAATCAAGCAGAAAACCCAATACTATTATGGACTACTGGACTATTTTGGAATATTTTGCTGAGTTCACACAGCTGTAATATTTAAATGATGGAACTAAACAAAAAAATGGGACATAGAAGAATGACCATTTCCTATCTGTGTATTCAAAATGTCTAGCATAGTTATATAGCTACATTCTCTTAATTCAAGGAATAAAAGCATTTGTTCTAATAGTGTTTGTAAATAGGATATCATGTCTGAATCTCGTACAACTAATAACCACTAGGAAGGCAGTATGCAATGTGTTACTTTTTGGACATGTCCTACCAATTCAATTTGAAACTGTCTCACTGCTATTTATTTCTCAATAAAATTATGGAAAAAAATAAAATAAATAAAATCAATGGCCTCAAATTATTATTAGATTCCTTATATTTATAACGTAAACTTACTACTCAAATACTTTATAAAATATCATTTATTTGAGGGTCTCATGATGTATTTTAAGACAGACTTTAACTCACTTGTAGGCCAGGCTGTCCTTGAATATGTGGAAACCCTCCTGCTTCTTCCTCCCAAATTCTGGGATTATAGGCATGCACCACCATGCTTGGCTCCCATTAGATATTTTTAAGCCAGTCAAGTTTTCAGAGACTCAAGAGTTCCTTGTTGAGTTATAAGGAACTTATGGATGAGGGATATTTCTTTGGAGTTTGCACAATTCATTCCTTAGGCACTGCTTGATTTGGAGACATGCTGACAGCAGGTGAAAGGAATATCAAAGTGAGTGACAACTAATGTCATTCAATTATGGTTACACTGTTTTGATAAATTAAATGTAGCTAAAATAACTACTGCTTTTTGAAAACATAAATTCTAGACATTTAATTCCTTACATAACTCAAACAAAAATCAGTTTTTCTCCAGGTGGCATATGGGTAATGAGAAGTGCATAGAATTCATTGCGTCATCAGTATCCTTGGTAGGGTGGAAAAGGCACTGTGGCCAGGTCTATGGAATTCTTGGTGTGATCTTTGGATTCACTGTAAAACTGTTATTTCCTAGTTTCTGTTCTGTCATCTTGAAGGATTTCTAAATTTTTGCATCTAGTCTTTGGATATGTAGAAGACTGTCATTTATGTGGCATCTCAAATCAAGGCCACCAGATGTTTCCTCCTCCGATGTAAATCAGAAAGCAAGTATAATTTGAATATTTTGCATACATTTACATAGCATGTCAAGAGTCCCTAACTCCAATTACGTAAAATAAAATCAATTAGTGAAACCTGCTGCAACTCCTTCCCATATCCAAACTCAGCATTACAGGCAGTAGGAACCTGGAAATACCTAGTGAGTCTGAGAGCCAATTAGGTTGATTTCCTCTGGGAATAGGAGTTAGGCAGAGGTGCTACCCAGGAGCATGGGGCAGCACACAGTGACAGGAGACACCCTTCCCACAGAATCTGATGCACAGTTGAATCGGAGTCCCAGTTGTGTTGTCCTAAGTAGGTGTGCTTTCTTCTTTTCCCCAGTGGAAGTTGCAGGTGTGCATTTTCTTTTTTTTTTTTTTTCAAAACGATAATAAACTTTAATGATATTGAAGACAGCATGAATTTTAACTAGTGCCAACCCACAAAATTTTTTCTAAGTCTGATAATATTACTCATAGTTATGATGCAGTAATTTCATCTTTTTTTTTTAGAGAAATTTTTTTCTGTAATTTTATTGAGAGGCAAATAGCAATGAGACAGTTTCAAATGAAATTGGTATGGCAGTTTCAATAATAAACACATTGCATGCTCTCTTCCTAGTGGTTATTTGCTGTACAAGATATAGACATGATATCCTATTTATGAACACTGTTACAACAAATCCCTCTATTCATTAAGAGAATGTAACTGTGTATCTATCTTAACCAGTTTGAATACACAGATACAAAATGGACATTCATCTGTGTCCCCTTTTTTGTTTAGTTGCGTCATTTGAATATTATAGGTGTGTTAACTGAGCATAATACTCTAAAAAAGTCCAGTAGTCCATAATAGTATTGGGTCTTCCACTTGACTGGCAATGTCAGAAATTGTTGACCTGAGTCCCCTACAGCTCAACATAACAGCATGGCTTTACTTCCTATACTTCGTTTTTATACTTTTCTGCTGGATGGTTAAGACCAAGATAAAGCAAGACCTATGCAACAAGAGTTGTAGCTTTTGGGTCTGATAAGGTCAGTGAAATCCCCTCAGGATTTATCCTGAGATCCTGTACCTCAGATTGTAGATCCTTTGTCAGTGTCAGCCATGTGGATGAGTCACGACCATTGCTTGGCCAATGTGCTCTCTGTGAAAGCCTGAGAGGATGTTTTCTCTCCATGTGGCTCTCCTTAGGCACACTCTACATCATCCATCATTTTTCCTCTTTGGCCCCATAATCTCCTTAATCAGAAAATTTCGGAAACTACTGAGCTGTCTCTCAGGTAGATGATTGTTTAAAAAGAAGGGGGTGGTCAATGAAGGCAGGAGACAGGAAAAGGAATGTTGCAGACTGTCCTGCTACAAGGTTGTGTATGGTTAGATTTCTGGACTTATGTATAAACATAAGAAGTATATAATTCTTTATGCCTATTTTTAAAATATATTTTAATTTTTAAAATGTTTTTCATCATATTCTGTAGGGACTTAAAGTTCAACATATCAATACTTGATGAAAAATACCTGTTCCATGTTATGCCTAAGATGTTTGATATTCAGAGAGATAGTGAGGTTAAGCTTAACAGCCTAGGTTGTGTGGTAATAATAATAAGCTTCTCTTCGGGAGGGTTAACAACCTAAATTTGCAAGTGTGCATTTTCACCCACACTGCAAGCACAATCTTGTTCTCCTTGTGGCCTAGGAAGGATGGAGTGGCACCCGTTGTCCTTGCTCAGGCTTTTTCTGCAGCTCCATGGACTACCCAACAAGAGAGCCAGTGAACACTGCTGTGCTTGCACGACTCCTTTCCTAACTTGTCATTTGTACAGCTGCACGTTGCCCACTGGGGGAGCTCGCCTCAGCTCCTAACAGTCCTCATCTCTGGCTCAGTCACCTCCGCATGGCTTACACTTTGTAGCCAGCTAGACCTTGTTTTAAAGGCCAGTTTTCTTATGTGGCCTTGCCCAAGTATTTATCAGCATTAAGACTGGAATTTCTCATGCATGCATTAAAAAACAAGATGATTTTTCTGAGTGCTGTGGTAAAGATTAAATAATATACCACTACTGAGGACACCAAACTATATTATATATTGAAAAGACATTAGCTATTCTCCTTTCTTTGAGATGCAGTCCAGACATTAACCAAATGGGGGGGTCTTTCTGTGGACTCTCTGCCTTGACAGTGTGTCACTTACATTATGTTCCCTATATTTACCAGTTGTGTTCCAAGGGGCAGATGTTTAGAAGTCCTCCACCTTCAGTGGCTGCTGATCCATTGGAGGTGTTAGTGGTGGCCACAAAGAGCAGGGGGCAAAGGACCCACAGCTGTGGAAAATCCGGTAGCAAGCCAACATCTCACGTCCCTCTCTCTGGCACAAACTGGTGAAGAATTCACTTCAGAGTAACTGGAAGAATTGAGAAAATCACTGCATTTTTTTTTTTCCAGAACTGAGGACTGAACTCAGGCCCTTACGCTTGCCAGGCAAGAGTTTAATTCTACTGAGTTATCTCCCCAGCCCCCAATCACTGCTTTTTTAACATAAAATTAAAGTTTTAAAAATCTCCATTTAGAGGAGATTCTACTCTGTGTCTTTCTGTTCTCCATCCTTTCCGTAGGAAGTACAGAATCCAGAGGAAGACAGGAGACTATTGTTGGAAACAGGTGATGCCTGCAGATGTCCTGTAAGCTAGCATGGGCGGAAACCCTGGAAGAAACTCTGGGTAGTTCACCTACATTGGCAAGCAGCTGTGCAGCACACATTGCCTTGAAGCGGATGCAGCTTTAGGTGTATGGACATCTTTCTCAAAAGATGCCCCAATAATATGAGTAGTCTATGAGGCAAGCTGTTGTACCCCATCCATTCTAAGCCATTCCTTTCCAAACTGCTTATGAAGTATGTAAGACAAACTACTAGGTTGGGAGAATAAAGAAATGACCTTTTATCAATATTAATTTTGTCTCCTTTTCTTACAACTTTCATATAGGTTTGTTATGTACACTAGAATAAAGTGTGTGCAACCAGTATATGTAAGGGGCTTGATGCGTTTGAGGAGACCAAATGCATCAAGATGAATGAGGCGCTGGCTAACACTCTCTTTCTTTCTCCAGACTGTGGTTTTGTACCTGCATCCTAAGGCTGATTTCAGCATGCTCAAAAGGAAGCAGAGCTCCAGGGTGGAAGCCCAGCCTGTAACTGACTTTGGTCCCGATGAATCGCTATCAGACAATGCTGACATACTCTGGATTAACAAGCCAGTAAGTTTCCTCTTGCAGCCTGGGAAGCACATGCTGAGAGAAGGGAAATTTGATTTGTAAATTCAAACCTAACATACCTTTAGCTTTGAACTGTCTGTCTGAGCTATGGTGAAACATGAATGAATCTCAGTGTCTGGAAGTTGGGAACCATTCAAAGGAAAGGATGAGGCACTGCTGTGAGTTTCCACAGGAAGGCACAGGTGGTTGGGTTCCCTCCATCCCACGGTGGAATTGCTGTCCTTAGAGTCAAAGTGTAGAGTGAATTCCACTTCCTAAAGTGATCTGAGATGGGCAAACTATTCTGTATGTTTTTCAGCATCGGGGATTGAACCCAGGAGCTTCTCACTGAGCTATTTACTCTTTATTTTGAGACAGAGTCTCACTAAGTCCCTAAATTGCTCAGCCCGGGCTCAAACTTGCAGTCCTCGCCTCAGCCTCTCAGAGTACTGGCGTTACAGGACTGTACCACTGCACCTGGCTGAGCAAGCTATTCTCATCTGAAGTCTTTTCCTTACCATGCTCAATACGCATGAGTCTTTGAGACACCGGGCACAGGTTTGGAATTAAAGGGCTTTTTTTTTAATTGCAAGCTCTGAGTTGTTTTGAAGGCTAAAGAGGTAGTGGACAGTGTCTCTGCCCAGCTACGTCAATGAGACTCCCAGAGGAAGAACTTCCATGCGAACTACCACTGCTTGGGAGGCAGGACAGCAATCTGTACTAAGCAAGAAAGCCGAAGCCTCAGTCTCGGAGCTCAGCTCTACAGTGCAGAGTAGGAGCAACTTCCTAACTAACTCGGTCAGGACACAGACTGAGCTGCTGCCTCCCTCAGGCCAGCTGTCCTCCCCACGTCAGGTGAACATGTTCTGTGGGCTTCCTTCCATCTCTCTCTGTCTTTCCTTCTCTGGCTTGCCCTTCAGATTACTTCCTCAAGCCACCTAGGTTTCTCTCTGCAGCACCGTTCCCCTCCTGCTTTGCAGTCATGGAAATGTCCCTTGGTCCCCCACTGCAGGTGATAGCATGTCGCATTCAGTGTGTAGGCTCGGGGCTGGTGGCTGCCACCCTGGTCTGCAGCTGCACACCATGCACAGGGGTCTCAGCAGTGCTTCCTACCTGCCCTCCGCAGGTTGTCTGATCGGCCTACAGCCCGATGGTGCCCTTTGCTCATGCCCAGGTTCACAGGGCTCTGTCCTGACTCCACTGAAGGATCAAATCCTCCTCCCTTAGGGCAGCCTGAGGGTTATGTCATTCTCACTGCACTCCCACTCAGAATGAGCTGCTTTTCTGTCCACTCTGATTTGCATATACCTATGAAGTGCTATCAAAAACTATGGTTAATGTTTATTTTTTTTAAATTATTTTAAAAAATCATTACAGAAAGACACATTGCCATTAATTCACCCCCCCCAAAAAAAAAAAAAAAGCTCCCACTCAATTTGAACACACTTGTACTGTTGTTCTTGCTACTTTCTGCAGCAGTTCAGGAAGTCCTCTTTTGTAACCATCTTTATGAGCTAACCAAAGATCATGCAGTGACTGGCTCTGCTCAGTGGCATGCAACCAGAAGGCTGGTTGTAAACATTTATATCATGTGCTCATCCACCTTCTTGACCAGGTCTGTGGCTGGGACGTCTCACTCTTCCCCAAAGCCAAAATGCCCACGAAAGGTATATATTTTGCATCCATTCAGGACATAAAAACAGCCAGCAGGGCACAGCTAATGGCCGTCAACAAAGAGAACCTTCAGAAGTGTGGCAGGAAGTACAGACAGTGCTGGGATAAGTGTGTTCAAGACATGGGAGAGTATTTTGAAGCATATTAGAAGTGGCATATTCTTTATAGGAATACATTTTTAAGTTTAATATTCACTGTATGTTTTCATCATACCTGATGGATCTTCCATTCATGCTTAGAGAATGGAGAAGAAGAGAAAAGAAAACATTCACAGAATTTTTCTTGGTGTCTGCCCCATAGAGAAGTTTCTGAGATCTGCCAAAGAAATTAATGTCACAAATGTAGCCTTAGAGGCATTAATGGACATTATTAATACTAGTATAAGGGGTCAGGGAGACAGCTCAGTAGAATAAGCGCTTGTCTGGCAAGCACAAGGTCCTGAGTTCAATCCCTGGTACTACAAAAATAAATAAATAGATAAATAAATAAATAAATAAATAAATAAATGCTTTTTATGGTTCTTTCTTCAAACTCAAAACAGATTTTGTGGGGAAGAACCCATGCTTTTGAAGTGCTTTTGGCTATTGGATCCTTCATGTAGGAGGTCCAGATGGGGTGAAATGTAAACACTGATATTTATGGGAGTGCTTCTAAATTGTATGAAAAGTACATCAATCCTTAAAATACATCAAATCTTATATGCCTAATGTGATATGGAACTATTAGTATTATGTCTTTATGAAAATATAACTGCCAGGCAAATATTTAAACTGAGTCATTAGCCTAAAACTGTCTGCATCTCCTTAAAATTCTGGCAATATGTTTTATTGTTTGTCTTAAGGATTTGCTAGTGTTTGCTTAACTGCCTGCAGAATCCATCTACCAGACAATGCCTTCTTTTCAGGTTAAGTGTAAAATCAATGAATTATTGTGACCACCTACATATTGGAGCTACCCAATAAGCAACATTTAAATTATGTCTAAGGATTATATGCTAAACTCACTAGTTATGCTAATTGTACAGATTTAGCATATAGATGGAATTACTTTTCATCTTGAGTATTATTTTTCTTTTTTTTTTAAATTTTTATTTATGTGTGTGGTGGGGGCAGCTCAGCCCACCAGGGAGCGGGGCTGGCTGGCATGTGGTGCTGGGGGATTGAACCGTGGTCCCTGTGCTTTGCTAAGCTTGTTCTAAATAGGTGCTTTAGACCACTGAGCCATCTCACCAGCCCTTGAGTATTATTTTTCATCGTAAAATAATATATAGGAGTGTTTGTATGCTCTGTACATATATACATGTAAACATATTCATTGTTTTAATTCTTTCTTGTTATTTTGGCATTAAGGAAAATCTTTAGACAGTGTATGTACATAAGATTTACATTAAAATGTATTTTTTATAATTTTGAAAGAGAATCTGAGTTAAAAATAACTTCTCCAAAATGAATGCCTGACTCCAGGAATGCATCCTAACCTTCGGTGTGTCATATGGAAAATCAGATGCTTTTCAAATACTAGAGACAAATACGACAAGAGTGGGGGAAAATGTTTAGTACACCCTATACACTGAGCAGATGCTTGCTTCCTTCGCCCTTGCCTCTGTGCTGATGTAATAATTTAGCCTTAATACTGATGTTTGAGTAGTGTGGTTCTTAAAGTTAAGGTTCTGGCTTAGAGTACCTCCTAGTCACTTTGGACTGTCCTTGCAGTGGGTCCACTCTTTGCTGCGCATCTGCGCCATCATCAGCGTCATCTCTGTGTGCATGAACACACCAATGACCTTCGAGCACTACCCTCCGCTTCAGTATGTGACCTTCACATTGGACACTCTACTGATGTTTCTCTACACCGCAGAGATGATAGCAAAGATGCACATCCGGGGTATTGTCAAGGTGAGTGTTCTCATGTCACTTCAGTTAATAACCGAAGGACATTTTTGAGCATCTTAATCAGTTTAATATGTTCATATTAATTTCTGTAAAATAATGCATCATTTTACTTCACTCATTTTGAAATCTTGCAAAACTCCCATCGACAGAAGTAAGTTATAAGAATGTGCAAAAGATTAATGGCTGTTTTAATCAGCTTTTGTCTTACTGAGACACAATAACTGCTACCCAGAACTTAAAGGAAAAGTTTACTTCATCTTTTTTTTTTTTTCTTTTTGGTGGAACCGGGAATTGAACTCAGGCCCTTGCGCTTGCCAGGTAAGCGCTAATTCTACTAGAACCATCTCCCTGGCCTCTACTTCATCTTAAAGTTTCAGAGTAATCAGTGCATGGTGGGCTGGCCTTGAGGTATCAAGTGGAAGAACACAGTGAAGAAAAGATGTTCATTCAGATATTTCATCCAAGAAACAGAGCAGGAGGATAGTGTCAGAGCCAAGAGAACTAGGGACTATACTTGGTGCCCAAATTCACACCTCTGTGACCCACACAGAGACACCCAGACTTGTGCTCTAATTTCCTAGGTGGTTCCCAAGCCAATCAAATTGACGTCATTCAACTGAACCACTTCTATGAAGTCTTTGAAGATCTGGAAAAGAAGTAGATGGTGTAAGTGTGGGCTTCCAGCAGTGTAGAAGAGGGTTTAACATGTCACCTGTGGCTGGACCCATGACCTGGCGTATGACTTGCCTGTAGTTACATGTGAACATTTTTTGACTCATGGAACACAGAATAAGTGTTTCATGATAAAGTTGTAGTGTGGATATACTCAGGGAGAGGTCATCAACTGAGGCATTCTGAAAATACAAGTAGATAAAGAAAACATGATATGAGACCAAAAGTAATTTGGAGACTATAAGGCAAAGAATGTGTAGCATACAGCTGACACCAGTGACAATCAAAAATAAGCTAAAAATTTTGCATAAAAGGAAAGAAAATTTCTGTCACAGGATATATCTTCCTTTGGTGCTTTACTGAAGTTAAAATTATATAGATCATGCTGTCCCAGAAGGCTGCACCATTTGAAGCGACAGTAGTACAATGGCTCAGCAGGTTGGGGGTTACAGTTTGACAAATGACAGGTTCAACTCAAAGCTTGATGTTTATTTACTGTTGTGTCAGTGTCTAAAGTTGGGAAATCATAGGAGGAAAGTGTTTCATTTCATATCAGGATTTTGAGAATTTAATAAGATAATGCATAGCTTACAGCTATTAGTTAATTTTCTTGCTTCCTTTTATCCACAATGCACTGCATGCTATTCTTAAAAGAGATATTTTCTCTGGCCATATAGCTCAGTAGACTAAAGTATCTGCTTAGGCAGAGTGTAGAGGCCGAGGTTCATGCCAGGCCCACCCCCGGGGCATGCTGAGACAGTGATTGAGACTGGGCGTGATGACACCCACCTGTAATCCCAGCTCTTGGGAGGCTGAACACAGGAGGATCACTATGAGTCTGATCTACGTAGTGAGACCCTGTAGACACTATAGACCCTGTACTAAATGCAAAGAGAAAGAGAAAGAGAGAAAGAGAGAGAGAGAGAGAGAGAGAGAGAGAGAGAGAGAGAGAGAGAGAGATCACAAACAAATGTATTATTTCTGTATTCATTTGTAAGGTTTTAATCACAGAATCTTATTCTGATTTTACTTTTTCATAGAATTTTGAAGTTTAAATAGAAGTAGGTTGTAGGGCTGATGAATCCCAACATTAGCAATGATCAACATTTGGCCAGTGTCTCGGAGACTTTCCTCTCTTTGCTGGAACAAAATACCAGATATCCAAAATTCGGGAAGGAAAGGCTTATTTAGTTCATAGTTAATGGAGGCTTTAGTCCATTCCCAGTTGGCACTGAGGCAGGGTGGCACATGGCAGAGGGCAGCAGTTGATGGCAGTGGAAAGCAGAAAAGAACAAAGGGAGGAGCCACAGCTGCAAGCAGCTAGCAGGCCTCTCCCCCTCCTTTCTATTGTTTGCAGCCTACCCACCCCAGGGCTGGTGCAGCACTCACACCCACAACCCCGCAATGGATCATGAATTAGCCACAGACTCCAGAACCGCCCCAGTGACTTCATGAGGCTTTGGGGAACAGCTAAACACCAACCATAATGGTCAACTTTGTTTTATTTTGGAGCAACTTGCAGAAATCAAGTCCTTTAAGAAACAGCTTTTTTTTTTTTTTTTTTTTTTTTTTTTTTTTTTTTTTGTCTCAATTGAATTAATTTCTGTTCTAATCTTTGTGGTTTCCTCAAGTCTTTTTTTTTTTTTTTTTTTTTTTTTTTTGCTGTACCAGGGATTAAACTCAGGATCCTGTGGTAGCCAGGCAAACAGTTATACTGAGCTATCTCCCAGGCCCAAGAAACAGCTCTTTATGCATTACAGACCAGTAAAATTTTATTTGTTTTTTTTATATATAAAGACTATCATTGTATATAGAACAGTTAACATAAACTTTTTGATATAGCCTAATACTCATCCTATGTTTGTTTTATCCCAGTCATCACAAATATTACTTTTTACAATGAGTGCATTTGAATCGGGACTCAAGGCTCACATAATGTATCTGATTGTTACATTTTAAGTCTTTTAAAAATCTATTAAGTCTCAGGCCTACTTATTCTGCAAAATATTTTCCATGTCATTGATCCATTGGGAGAAATGAGTCTTGTATCTCCTTTAACATGCTGCATTCTAGGATGACTGAGTGCTTCCTGACGGCGTCATTTAGTATTTGTTTAGGCTCCACGTTCCCTGACCAGCATCGTACGGAACTTCGCCACATGTTCACCACAAATATGTCTAGATACTTGCTAACTTGATGGATGGGAAATAATAAATCTGTGTCATTTTGATTTGCATTTGAGGGCACTACTGTATTTACGAGCCATTTTGAGTGATTTTTTAAAAATTCCCATTTGAACATTCGTAAGGATTGGGAATATTAGCCTCTGTGACATAAATTTCAGTTTCTCTTTCAGTTTTCCATTGCCTTGGGGTTGCTCATAGTTACTTGTGTCATACAGAATTCTTAACATCCAAATTGTGAGCAGAATTTCTGTTCTACTAAGTCTGCTTTTGTGTTTTGTAAGAATGTTATATAGTTTTTCTTATATAGATCTTCCTCACTTTTGTTATACTTATGCTTTCGTGTGTTATCTTTTTGCTGTCTAAATGAGGTTTTTATCTTCCATTATATATTCCAAATTATGGTGCTCTTAAAGGTTTTGATTTATCCAAAAGAGTATTATATTAAACTAGATTATTAAATCTTGCATTAATTATAGCAGTCCATTAATTCTTTTGATATTTCGTATCACGTATCAAATGTAAATAGAGACAGACTGATCTTTTTCTTTCCAATTGTCACATCCCTAATTTTTCTTATATTTAATTGGATAAGCTAATATTGCCGAAAAATTATAAGTAACGATAGGGGCATGATTGTGTTTGTTTTGTTGCTAGCTTATCCAAAATAATTCTAGGATTTTCTCATTGGGCAATTTTAAGAATCTGAGCTGCAAGTATGCATCTTTTTCAGATTAAAGAATGAACAATTCCAAGCTTTCAGAGTTGTATCTGGGACAGCTTTTTAATTTTTCCAATGATTGTTTTTCTCCTTTTGTAATAAATTTCCTGATATTGAATTATTCTTACACTGAGGAGAAAGCCCCACTAGAAAGATGGACATTTTCATTCTCACACATTTTTTTTTTATTTTTATGCAGTTTCAGTGTGCTATTTGACTTCTTATTATTTTATTTAAGTCCTGTTGAACCTTTTTGAAGCATAACTAAGCTCATTGGTACAATGTCTGAGGAACAGCTGACAAACACTTTTTCCCTACTCTGTGTGTTCTCTCTTTTTCACATTGTTGTTAATTTTTTTCACTGTGCAAAAGCTTTTTAATAAGATGAGATCCAAGTTGTTGATTCTGTTTCATATTTCCCATGGAGTTTGGGCTTTGTTCATGAAATTTTTGCCTACACCTGTCTAACAGTTCTACCTATCCTCTCTTCCAGCAGAGTTAGTGTTTCTCTTTTAATATTTCTACCTTTGATCCATTTTGATTTTTGATTAGTATGTGGTGAGAGATATGGGTCTAGATTCTATAGAATGTTTGTCAGGTTTTCAGGTTTGGATTTTAAGGTGTTTTTTGTTTGTTTGGGTTGTTTTTTTTTGTGTGTGTGTGTGTGTGTGTGTGTGTGTGTGTGTGTGTGTGTAAGCATGTACTTCTGTAACCTAAAACCCTGAGGACTCAGGATTTTTTTTAACTTTCAACTTTGGCATAAATATCTTCTGAAGACTTGTGCTTCGGGAGCTTTTGTATTTGTTTCACTTCACAGTATTTCCTTTCTTCTAGTGGGATTTGGTCCACTTAAACTTCTTTGATGTAGTGGGGTCTGTTGAGGGGAGTGTATTTTCTTAGAAAATTATCCACTATTTGGTCTGTCTAAATTATTAACATAAGATTACTTAAAACAACTTTAATTTCCTGTTTCAGTAGCATGTTATCTTAACTATGTATTTTTGTTATTTTAATCTGAGTTTTTAAATTAAGTTTGCTAGTATTGTTTGTTTTGTTCCCTTTTGTTTATATTAACCAGTTGGTTTACTTATTCTGTCAATTATTTTTTAAAAGGAATACATTTACTTTCCCAACTCTCTAATTTTTGCCATTATGTTAACATCTTTCCTTTTTGATTTACATGGATGATCTATTTCTAGCTTTTTATTCCTCTCAAAGTCCTATTTCTTGAAATCCTTAGACATGCTGTTTCACTACTTTGTGGGACAAAATGCTACTGCTGAGAATATGTCTTGTCTCTTCTTTGTGATTTGATTTTTTTTTCTCCTAAGTATTGACTCTCTCTCTCTTTATTGTTAAATCCGTAGTTCTCTGAGGATACGTTTTTGCTTGCTGAGTGCCAGGAACAGTTTGCTGAGCACGTCAGG